CCACCACCACTACCCCTGTGTGACTGCAGAGCAGTTCCGCCGCATCGGGCTGACTGGCCAGATGAAACATCGTGGCCCATGGCATCCCCCCCCCCCTTTTGACCCCCCTGGGATATGCATTAGGGGGTAAGTATTGTAGTCATTTTGTATCCTGTGAGATGTGCATTTTTGCCTAAACTGTTTTAACTGTTGACTTTTACTGCACTTGTGCCTTAATTGATTTAACTTGTATTTTTATCGCACTTTTGTGCCTGTGTAAGCCGCCCTGAGCCCGTGTGCAGGGAGGGCAGGGTATAAATGAAATGAAATAAATAAGTAATAAACTAGGTAGAAAAATATTATTTTTGAATGAAAAAAAGTGAAGACTATCCCCCCTCCCAATGCTATTGGCTGAACGGGCGTGCTTTCTGGCTTCCCGCAGACTGAATTTGATTCTGGTCCCCATCGATGCCCTAGCCTGATCTCATCACATCTCGGAAGCTAAGCAGGGCCGGCCCTGGTTGGCATTCGGATGGGAGACCCACAAGGAAGTTCAGGGATGTGAGGCAGAGGCAGGCGATGGCAAACGACCCTCTGAACGTCTCTGGCCTTGAAAACCCTACAGGGTCACTGTGACTTGAGGGTCCTTCCCACCACCAAGTTACGCTGTCCTGACCCGGATGGCCGGATCTCCTCAGATCTTAGAAGCTGAGCAGGGTCGGCCCTGGTGGATAGTACTTGGACGGGAGACCACCAAGGAAGCCCAGGGTTACTACGGAGAGGCTGGGCGGTAGCACACCACCTCTCTTCGCCTCTTTCCTTGACAATCCTACAGGGTCACCATAAGTTGGCTGAAACTTTACCGAACTTTGTACTCAGATACCAATCAGTGCTCTTTTGACTTACTCCCCCCCCCCTTTTGGGCATCCTATTTGATGGCTGCATATCATACTGTTTTCTTGCCTTCAGGCAGGGCTATTTTGGGGCAGGAACGCTCAGCTGGCTTCTGAGTTGGCCACGCCCAGCAGGAACTCATTAGCATAACAGGCCACACCCAACAGCAGGAACTCATTAGGATTGGCTGCATTAGGGGTGTGTGGCCTAACATGCAAAGAAGTTTCTGCTACAAAAAAAAGCCCTGGGTTTTGACAACGAAGTGTACAGAATGAGAAGCAAAAGGTGGGTGTGATGACATGGGTGTGTGGTCTAATATGCGAATGAGTTGTGGTGTCAGGGGTGTGGCTAATATGCTAATGAATTTCTGGTTTTGGGTGTGGCCTATTATGCTAATGAGTTCCTGCTGGGCTTTTTCTACAAAAAAAGCCCTGCCTTCAGGTATTACTCTGAATATGTGTGTGTGTGTGGGGGGGGTAATGATATTATAAGTAGTCTTGGGGGCACTTGTGCTGGAAAGCAGGGCAATTTTTTTTTTTTTTTTTAAATGAGGGGATTTTTTTTTTTTAAGAAATAGCAGGGAAACGTCCTCTCTCCCCCCCCCCCCGGGAAAACCCCGCACACTTCCCCTCAAACTGGAATAGGACTTGCAACTGGTCTCATTTCTCTGTTTCTCCCTCCCTCCCCTAAGCTCTCCGTTGCTTTGGTTACAAGCCCATGAGCTCACACGGCGTGGAATGCAGCTCTGCCTTGGGACCTGACTGGGCAGGAAAAGAGGGACTCGGGGGACTTGGAGTTCTATTTTCCTCTCACCCTGCCTCTGAAGAGCTCAGCCTTGGACAAGGTGCCCCCCCGCCGCCTTTGTTTATCTTCACAACGACCTGGTGAGGTTGTTTATGCCTTCGAGAAATGGTGGTGGCCTCAGCGAGCCCGGATTTGAACACAGGCCTCTCTAGTCTAAGTCCAAAACTGAAGCAGTTATACCATAACATCTTTGACTGAAGAGGGCAAAGAGACTGGGTGGGGCGGGCTAGGATTGAGGGGACGCAGGGCAGCCTGGTTGCTGAAGTTACAATCCTACACACAGCACGTTGGCGTGAGCCCCACTGCATTCGGTCGGATTTGGTGGCATGAACGAACGAATGTTTATTTGCAGTCAAAGGCCATTCATGATAGGAATACATTCTTCTGTAACAGCCAAAGAGATTCATTCCAGCGCAAAAAAATATGTTTAGTCTTAAAAGCCTTAAAATATTTATTAAATCTAACAATAAAAGAAACTAAAATAAATCTAAAATGTCTAGTATGTGTAAAACGATTATAAGTCATACAAATAAAAAAAAAATACATAATCGTGCTCCTCATTGTGGAATTTTACTAAGTGGAGGCAGAGTTTGGCTATCTGTCCAGAGACAGTCGGATTTTCACTAATTAAAAGTCTCTCCGGGCAGGTCTGATCTGCATCAACTGACGGTCTGTCTAAAAATGGGGATAGAAACGTATCCCTATAAACTTGATGGAACGGGCACCGAAAGAACATATGTGGATTTGGTGGCAGAAAGTGGCACTAAGTCGTAGCCAACTTGCAGTGACCTCAGAGGGGTTTCAAGGCAAGAGGCAAATGGACGTGGTTTCCCACTGCCTGCCCCTGCAGAGCACCCCTGGACTTCCTTGGTGGTCTCCCATCCAAGGACTAACCGGGGCCAACTCAGCTTGGCTTCCCAGACGGAGCCAGCCTGGGCCATCCGGGTGAGGGCTCAGTCCAATTTCCTTCTCGAATAAACAGGCCTACAGTCAGAGGAGCGCCGGATTCAAATCTCTCCGCACATCCCACCCCCATTCATTTGTGGTATGGAAATCTTGATGCCTGTGTCCATTCTTACAGTGAGGATTGCCAAGATGACACATTCTGGACACAGTCTCATCAGAGCTCAGAAAGCTGAGCAGGTTAGTCTATGGGTGGGAGACCACCAAAGAAATCCAGGGTTCCTATGCAGAGGCAGGCTGTGGCAAACCACCTCTGACTGTCTCTTGCCCTGAAAATCCTGCAGGGTCACCATAAGTTGGCTGTGACTTGACTGCGCTTTACATAGTCACACACATGCTGTTTTTTCTTTAAACAGATGTTTAATACGATGGGTGCTCGACTCACCAGATCGGGTGTGGCATTAACGTTTACCTTTGGTGGACGGCAGTCTACGTCTGTTCCCAAGGGTGGGGCGGTGACAATTCAGGAACTGCGGGAGGAGATCGAGGCTAGGGAAGTAATTCTCGGGAGCCCAAGAATTGCTGGGGGGGGCACCCACCGCCCACCAGGGGGGGCTGCCTGGATCTGAAGCACGGCAGGATTCATATTATTTCAGGACTTTGCCTAATACCTTAAAACATTATTTTATACTTCTACTGAAGATGACTGTTTAAACCAGCACTCCCCAACCTCTAGGTCCCAAAAGTAGGTCAGGAAGCCTATGAAAGTGGGTCCCAGCCTACTGCAGTTCCAATGATTTGTGAATGCTCCGGGCTTCTTTTTTAATACCAAGTGAATTTGGGCTTGTGGGTCACCGTGTCAAAAAGGCTGGGGACCCCGGGTTTAGATCTTAAGTCCTGCCACCAAGCTGTCAATAGTCATTTAAGAAAAACCCAGTAAGATAGCTGCCTGGTGCTTTCTGGGTACCGTTAATTTCACGGGGGATTTCTGAATGGGACCCCCGGGTTGTACCCAACAGCACTCCACTCAGCTAAGTTGTGGGTCTTTCTCCCTGCTGGAGAGCACGCCCGTGGACTTAGAAGGGCGTAACTCTGTTTCGAACGGAGTGGTTGGCTGAGCCTGAATGTTAATTGAGATCAGCGTCCTATCTGAATTTAATGTAAGTTACTACTAGGTTGATTAGTTGTAATTTGAAATATCTTGTATGTGTTCATAAGAACGGTAATATTACTATGTTACAGATTCTTAAGACTGTTGTCTAACATTTATGAAACTGAGAGCTTTGGCACCACTACGTAAGTAAGCACTAAGATTATTGTATTGTCTCTTGTCTCTTATTATTGGTGTAGCACATATTCTAAAAACTGTATTTTTGTACACCCAGAATATCTCCTGAAGAAGATCCATTTTTTGAAACGTTGTTATGTAATCCGGAGACGACGTTGATTATGTACCTTGGTTCAAGGATTTTCTATTGAGTTGTGTATCATGTTGTAGTGCTTTAGATGGCAATACATAAACAGCATTCTTTATAAGTCTTATGACTGTTTGATTGTGGGTCAGACTATCACGACTGTTGCCTTTATACTTGTTTAACAGCAGGCAACTCATCGCGAAGGACTGCAAAACTAGATTTAATAATCCTGCTCCCCTTAACCGAGCGATTTCCAGCCTATGCTATTCCGTATCCCCCCCCCCCCCCCCCAGCCAACAAACGCTCTCGCCTCTCCCATCTCTAAATCCGGCAAACTATATCTGATCCTGTCCGAAATGCCCTTCCTCCGTGAAAGGAACGAGCGTCAATTTTTCCTTTAAAGGTATCCTTCACTCCTCTGAGCACGTGCAGACAGCCGTTTCCTGTCAACAGAAAGCAACCATCTACATAGGGTTGCCAGCTGTGGGTCGGGAAACACCTGGAGACTTTGGGGGTGGGGCCTGGGGAAGGCGGGGCTTGGAGAGGGGAGGGGCCTCAGCCAGGCATCCTGCCACAGAGTCCACCCTCCAGAGCATCTCTTTTCTCCAGGGAACTGGTCCTCTGGACATCAATTGTAATAGTGGGAAATCTCCAGGTGCAACCTGTTGAGTTGGCAACCCTGAAAGGACATTGGTTTACTTTAAAAGTCAGCTTTTGTCCCGAGACTGAACGATGAAAGCCACCTTGTTGCAAAATGTGGAAGCAGGAACGGGAAACACCCACACACAATGTTTTTATCTGGCGACTTCCTCCTGTTCCCAGGCCGGGGAGATCGAGCTCCCCTTCAAGGGAGAGGCTGGCCTCTCTGCTATCGCAAGGCAGGCTGCTAAACCGCATTCAAGGCAAAGGTGCATCCGGGTGGTAACACAGCGAAAGGGGAAGTACGGGTACTCTGGAAGGGCGAGGGGGAGGTGTGTTGCAGAGAGCAGATCCATTTCTGCTTTTTTAATCCAAGCGGCCTCAGGGTCACACTCGATCTAAAGTTCTGCAGAAGTCATTAGGAAACTGCCCTTAGAACACTGGAGAAAGTGTGGACATCTTTTTAAGAATTATATTCTTCTTCTTGGAGTAGGGTAGTGAGAGCCAGTTTGGTGTAGTGGTTAAGTGCGTGGACTCTAATCTGGGAGAACCGGGTTTGATTCCCCACTCCTCCACTTGCAGCTGCTGGATGACCTTGGGCAAGCCACCGCTCTGTCAGAGCTGTTCTCTCACTCAGAGCTCTCTCAGCCCCACCTACCTCAGAGGGTGTCTGCTGTGGGGAGGGGAAGGGAGTTTCTAAGCCGCTCTGAGACTCCGAGTGAAGGGCGGAGTCTAAATCCAATCCCTTCCTCTTCTTCTTCTTCTAGAGACTGAGATGTGAAATGGTATCGCCTGATCTCAGTGGATTTTGGAAACTAAGCAGAGGAGGGCTTGGGGATGAGGGACCACCAAGGAAGACCCTGCAGAGGAAGGCAACGAGGGACCACCTTTGCTTCTCACTTGCCTTGAGAGCTCCTTGCTAAGAGACACCCCCCCCCAATCCTTCGTGAACCTTCCTGACCGCTGTGGTCGTGTCTGGAGGCCCTGCTTTAGCTGCCCGTCTTCTGAGATTAAGCAGGTGCCAACCTGGGGGATGGGCCTTCTCCGTCAGGGGACCACAGCTCTGGGACTCTCCCCCCAAGAGGACTCCTCCGCCTCCTTCTGTCGTCTGGAGGCCCTGCTTCGGGTGCCCCTGTCTTCTGAGATTAAGCGGGTGCCAACCTGGGGGAAAGGCTTTCTCGGTCAGGGGACCACAGCTCTGGAACTCTCCCCCCAAGAAGACTCCGCCGCCTCCTTCTGTCGCCATCTTCCCCCAGCAGGCGAAGGCTTTTTTTGTTTCGTTTGGCATCCCCCCCCCCCAGCGATCCCTCCGTCCTCCCGACCAATGTTTTAACAGCTGTTTTTGTGTCTTTGTACACATTTTCACTGTTTTTGAGATGTTTTAATGATGTGCATTGGGGGAGCGCTGATTTCGATACTTTTAAAACAAGGATTTGATCAGGTACATTATAATTTGTCGGCTGCCTCAGGGGCCTTGTGAGGGCGGAAAGGCGGGACACGAACACAAGCACTGTAAATAAATAAAGTAGTCAAGTCAGTTGTGACTTGATGGCGCATGTGCATGTAAAGGGTGGTGACTAAGAGCCTGCGGTATCAATCAGGATGCTCCCCCCCAACCCTCCTCGTACGCATCTCGTCTCTAATATGAGCTCACAAGGGAGTCTATACGTGACAGTGAATACATGAAGCTGCCTTATACTGAATCAGACCCTCGGTCCATCAAAGTCAGTATTGTCTACTCAGACTGGCAGCGGCTCTCCAGGATTTCAGGCAGAGAGGTCTTTCACATCACCTCCTACCTGATCCTTTTAACTGGAGATGCCGGGGATTGAACCTGGGACCTTCTGCATGCCAGGCAGGTGTTCTGCCAGTGAGCCACGGCCCCTCCCAGGTAAACTGCTCGATGCTGCAGTCCTGTAGGGGAATGATTCCAATGGCACGACACCCAACCCTGTGCAGGTCTAGCCTTCGCTTCGGCAAGCGACTCTTTGCAGAATGAGGATATTACACTCTGACTTTGCAGGTCGGGTAGCCAGTTGGGAAATACATGGAAAATTTGGGGGGGTGGAGCCTGAGGAGGGCGGGGCTTGGGAAGGGAGGGGCCTCAGCAGGGTGCAGTGCCACAGAGCCCACCCTCTGAAGCAGCCACGTTTCTCCAGGGGAACTGTTCGTGGTCATCTGAAGATCAACCGTAATAGCGGGAGATCTCCAGATGCCTCCTGGATGTTGGCGACCCGGCAGTTTCCAGGGTTGCAACAAGGGAAGAAAAGTGAAGCATTCTGAGCCCTCAAAAGCACCATAGCGGGGCTTGGGGGAGGGAGGGGCCTCAGCAGGGTCCAGTGCCACAGAGTCCACCCTCTGAAGCAGCCACGTTCTCCAGGGGAACTGTTCGTGGTCATCTGTAATAAGCGGGAGATCTCCAGATGCCTCCTGGATGTTGGCAACCCGGCAGTTTCCAGGGTTGCAGCAAGAGAAGAGAAGTGAAGCATTCTTGAGCCCTCAAAAGCACCATACAAATCTAAGGTTTGTGAGGACTAAATATTGACCACAGTGGCGGAGTGTAGCGGTCAGGATGTTGAGCTAGGAGCCGGGAGTTCCTGGTCTGGATTTCCCCTCTGCCATGGATGCCCGTTGGGTGGCTTTGGTCCAGTTACTCTCCTTCAGCCTGACTACCTTACAGGGCTGTCATTGTGAGGATACAATGGCACAGGGGAGACCGAGGTAAGTTGCTTTGAGTTCGGGAGTCAGCACCCAGGTAAAGCGAGGTATCGAGCTGAAAAGCGAGGTACCGAAATAAAATAAGACTCTGCTTTTCATCGACATTCTACATCCTGCCCTTCCCTGCCCTTGAAAGATTCTGTTGGTACACTGAAAGGTCACGGGCGAATACCACCAGCCTCATTGTCTATTCACAGATATCGTCCACACCAAGTCGAAAAGTTGTTTCAGACTTCATTTGTGATTTTGTGGGTATCCAAAGAAACTTCCAATCCGTTAATGCAGTTCTGAAAACTACATTCGGGGACTGGAGGTAAAGACTTTTTGGTCAGCAAAAAAACCCCAAAACCCTTCAAAATAAAGGTAAGACCAATGTACAGTAAGGTTATTTTCTTGATAATATCTGCTCTGAAAGTGAAAACTGCTGAGCAGGATAATTCAGAGTCAGTTCTGAGGTTGCTTTGCAGTACTCCATCATACGGACAAGGGCTGCAGATAATATAACCCTCTCGGCTTCCCTGAGCCGGTTTCCCCACTTACATATTGGTTAATGATAGGCTTTTCACGGCGTCAACGGCTCTCCCAAGAGCCTCCTGAATTTATGCCCGGTGCCGTTTTAAACTGTCTCATTCTCCAGTTCCTCTTTTCCCGTCTTTCTACTCCCCAGCCTTTGATCCTGCTCTTTTCCT